GGGGGAGGCCTGCGTGCTGACGCCGCGCCCTCCCGCGCTGGCCGGCGCAGGCCAGCTCCCACAGGATCCGCATCTACGAGCGGGAGGACCACCGAGGCCAGATGGTAGAGATCACGGAGGACTGCTCCTCTCTCCAGGACCGCTTCCACTTCGGTGACTTCCACTCCTTCCACGTGCTGGAGGGCTACTGGATCCTCTACGAGATGCCCAACTACCGGGGCCGCCAGTACCTGCTGCGGCCCGGGGAGTACCGGCGCTACCACGACTGGGGCGCCATGAATGCCAGGGTGGGCTCTCTGCGCAGGGTCATGGATTTCTATTGAAGCTCCTCCCCCTACCGTCTTCTCCGTCTGGCAGCTAATAAAATATGCCCTGTGTGTTTCATGCACCCGTGGAGTCCTCTGTTCCTTTCGGCCCCCTTGGCAGGGCTCAGCACATATAGGAGGAGAAATTGTGAACAGACATGTGAACTTTCTTACACTTCGCAGTGGAAAGAGTCTCTGGGGGGAGACCGCCCGGGTCCTGTCCACCTGCTAGCTTTAGATGACGGTCCAAGCGAAGCATTTCTGTGCCTTATTTTCCTTATGTGTCAAAATGATATAATGAAGCTCTTTCCATAGGTTCCATTTTAGATTAAATGAACTGATGTGTATAGATAGAGACATAAATAGAGATATACATATCACTGACTATAGCTTTGCAAATAATTGTTTCTAGAAAGCTGCTCTGTAAACTCACACGTGAAACCTCTAATCACCTCCTTCTTACTCTTAGCTTAAATGGTCTGGAAGTATTGCCTTATAGAGGATGAATAAGTGAAATTACATAGAAAAAGACAAAGAGACACATTTATTTACATAATTGTATCATGACACCTCTAATTTCTAAACTTGGTGGCTGGATGAAGAAATTAATTAATAGTCCATATGTTCAGAGCATGGATTTAGAAATCTTGTTGAGGAAGTTCACATTCAGTAGTCTGAACTGGTAAACACTAGTAAACGTGTATCTTAAAAGACTAAAGACAAAGGCACATGATCAAGAAAACAAAAATGTAATACTGCAAATCTCATAAGCCTATTATTGAATGGGCAAATAGATATTGTCTCCGAGTTCATGAATCAGCATGTGTTAGTAATCCTGACACTAGGAAAGGAAAAAGAAACTTATGAGGTCATACTTTTTTTAGTGGAGTGTAATATGTCTTTTCGGGCAGGAGTTCACAAGATGAAGCCTAAGTAGGTATTAGGTTATACCAAATTGTGTGTTTTTTTTTTAAGTACAAGTACTTTAGTTTGTAGACAGAGATAAATTGCAACACATCTTAGAAGTTCGCCTTAATTGTGAAATGGCAACCTTTTGTGAAATGAGTTCATGGTGAATCAGATGGCCTTGATTAAGAACAAAACAACACTTGAAATCATCTCATACTAAAAAGAAAATATCCAGAGCAAGAATTCCAAAATTTCAAACATTAGAGGAATAAAATAGTAACTTAAAAAACAAAAAAGGAATAGCCGGGGGCTGGTGGCTCACGCCTGTAATCCTAGCTACTCAGGAGGCTGAGATCTGAGGATCGCGGTTCAAAGCCAGCCGGGGCAGGAGAGACCGTGAGACTCCTATGGCCAATAAACCACTAGAAAACTGGAAGTGGCGCTGTAGCTCAAGTGGTAGAGTGCTCGCTTTGAGCTGAAGAGCTGAGGGACAGCGCCCAGGCCCAGAGTTCAAGCCCCGCGGCTGACCAAAAAAAGAAAAAAAGAATAAAATAGATAATTTATGACTGACATTTTGCACATCTAGTGCAAATACATGTTCCAAGATATTGGAAGATATTCTAAGGACATTTGAGAACTGCTTTGGTAAATACAGTAATCAGTGGACCCTGTCACCACTAAGCAAGCACTTGGAACGAGGCTAGCTTGAATGGTAATGAAAATACATACCAGATCTCAGGCACTGAATTTGAAAAGCAAAACACAAATGTCTCCTTCATATCTTTTCATGTAATTTACTGTTAAGACACTAATCATTTGAACACATTACATTAAATACACCCTATCATTAAAGCTAACTTTGCCTGAATTTTAAATTCTTTTAAATGTGATTACCAAAACATTTGAGATTACATTTATGAGCTTCAGTGTATTTCCTTCCTTGTTAAAAATATTTTTTCTTTAGATGGCTAGAAAGGAATTACCACTCAACAAATCAGTTTATGAATATAATGGATCTTGACTGATGTTATCCCTTCCATCATTCCCTTCCCTCCCAACCCAACCCCTTTCAATTTTCTTAATTTCATAGGATTTGTATTGAATATTATAGCTGCATTCTTCTCCTCCCTTTTTACAGTCATTTCCTTTTGGCAACCCTTACCACCTTTCAAGCACAAATTTGATGGTATTTATTTTGTTGGACTGTGGGCTAGGTTTATTTTTTTTAAAGGAATCAGCATTCAAATTCTTCCCTCAATATACTTAAGTTAATATATTTGTGTACACTTGCATACAAACCCATTTGTGTTTACTTGTACATTTATAAAGTATTTTTACTGAGCTGTGCTGACTAGGCTATAGAGGTGAAAATTTAAAAAAAAACAAACCTGAAATTGGTATTCAGAAAAGAAAAGAGGAAAAAAACCTCAACCTCTTTTAGACTTCAAACTCTTATTACAAAGCCATAGGAATCAAAACAGCTTGGTATTGGCACAATAATAGACCAGTGGAATAGAACTGAAGACCCAGAAATGAACCCACAGACCTATAGCTACCTAATCTTCAATAAGGGAGCCAAAAAAATAGAAGGGATAAAAGACAGTCTCTTCAGTAAACGATGCTGGAAAATTTGGTGTGACACCTGTAGAAGGCTATAATTAGATCCTTATCTATTACCCTGTACCAGAATCAACTCCAAATGAATCAAAGACCTTGAAGGAAAAGCAGACACCCTGAAAACATTGCAAGAAGGAATAGGAGAAACACTAGGGCTCCTTGGTACAGGCCGAAATTTTCTTAATAAAGATCCAGAAACACAACAAATCAAAGAAAGGTTGGATAAATGGGGTTGCATGAAACTGCAGAGCTTCTGCATGGCAAAGGACATAGCTAGCAAGATCAATAGAAAGCACACAGTCTGGGAGAAGATCTTCACTAGCCATACAACAGACAAGGGCCTCATATCTAAAATATACTTAGAACTCAAAAAATTAAATCCTCCAAAAACAAATCCTCAAAGAAACAACCACCCCATCAACAAGTTGGCTAAAGATGTAAAGAGAGACTTCTCTGAAGAGGAAATAAGAATGGCCAATAGACACATGAAGAAATGCTCAACTGCTCTGGCTATAAAAGAAATGCAAATCAAGCCAAGGCAGCAATGGCTCATGCCTGTAATCCTAGCTACTCAGAAGGCTGAGATCTGAGGATCATGGTCAAAGCCAGCTGGGGCAGGAAAGTCCAAGTCCTTGAGACTCTTATCTCCAGAAAATCAAAAGTGGCTCAGTGGCTCAAGTGGTACAGCGCTAGCCTTGAGCTGAAGAGTAGAGGAACAGCATTCAGGCCCCATGACAGTATTCAGAAAAAAAAAGAAATGCAAATCAAAACAACATTGTGATTCCACCTCCTCTCAGTCAGAATGGCTACAATGAAGAAATATAATAACAACAGATGCTGGAAAGGATGTGGCCAAAAGGGAAGCCTACTGCACTGTTGGTGGGAGTGTAAACTTGTCCAACCACTCTGGAAAGCAGTATGGAGGTTCCTCAAAAGATTCCACATAGAGATCCCCTATGACCCAGCAATCTCACTTCTGGGCATTTACCCAAATGATCACAAACAAGGCCATACTAAAGTTACCAGCACACCTATGTTTATTACAACAATATTCACCATAGCTAAGATATGGAAGCAACCCAGATGCCCCTCAATAGATGAGTGAATCAAGAAAATGTTCCATTTGAAAGAACAACATTGCCCCATTTGTTAGGAAATGGAAAGACTTGGAAAACAATCATATTAAGTGAAGTAAGCCAGTCCCAAAGAAATTTAGGTCCCATGGTTTCCCTTATTTGCAATAATTAGTAATGAACCCCAAGATATGGACACGAGAGGTCTGTCTTTATTGTTATTATTTTAAATGTACCATGTGATTTTATTTTTTTGTTGTTGTTTCTCTTGTATGTTCTTCCCCTATGGTATATCCGCTGTTGTCACTGTACTTGATTTTGGTACCTTGCATCTTGTATATATCTAATCTGGGGAGAGGAAGGGGAATAACAAAATGCTGAAACAAGGACAGAGGATGACCCATTGCAACAAGGATACCCACAGGACAGTATATTGGAAACAAATTTGACAACTTGGGGGGGGGGAATGTGGGGGAGGGAAGGTATAGTAGGACAACAACAAGGAAGGGAAGGGGTAACAATGATCCAATGATCGACAAGTAATGTACTCATTACCTTACTCATGTAACTGTCACTCCTCTGTACAGCATCTTTACAATAAAATAATATTTTTGGTTCAAGATACTTTAGCCTGAAATTTAAATAGAATCCTGGAAATCCAGGCAGCTACAGACAGGAAGGAAGTGCCTGCTCATCCATCAGAAGTTAGGCTCTCTTATTATTTCTATTACTTCCTGGCCCTACTTGACCTCCAGCTTACACTCCCACAGAAGGGAGTAGAAAATACTTCTGGTATCTTTTCTCTATTCGTGTTTTGTTTTATCTCCACTCTATCCTCCTCATGGTCCTTCCTATTTTGCTTTCGGACAAGATGGAAGGTAATTTATTTTTAAAGGGACCTGGGAGGCTGCCTGCCTTATCAATCATCTTGACACATCTGTAGGTTTTGTTAGAACACAAGAATAAGTTCTTATTCCAATAGGATCTAATGACACAACAGCATTTCAGTTACAAGGAAATTCAAAGGAAGAGATAGTCCCTTCCTGATAGAAACTCTGAATGTTTACTGACATTGGAAAATGTTTGTCAAATGGTGCATGAGAGTAGCTTTGTATGGAATTTGAAAACCCAAAACATAAGGAATTTAGGCAATCTATAAACTATTTATTAACAAGTCTAACAGAGATCTTGAACATTGCATGCTGTGACTGGTGAACCAAATTAAAGACAAAGTGAAAAACATATCAAAAACAGTAGTTTTTTGGTTTTTTTTAGGGGGAAAAAATAAATTCCAGATACCAATTTTCAAAATTCAGTTGACATGGTTGTGTGTAGCTTTTTTTAACAGAAAAGGGCCGGCAAAACATTTCTAGAATATTTACTCTGAACATGCAATTATTTTTATTCTGCCACTTTTGCAGCCATAGAGAGAGAAACTGTCAGTCTGTGTGATGGAAGATTTTCCCCAAGATGCAGAAGACAGA